ACATCGGGTGTTTCCAAGGATGCCATTAAGGAATGCGGTTTGACTGAGCTCAACTACCGCCATATAGCCCCGACTTGTCTCTTGTTATATTGTTTATTTTTAAAATCGAGATCCGATTGACGGAGAAAAAAAATATCACTCATGTTGAATCAGCAGTTTTATCACATTTTGAGGGTAAAATTTAGACTATTTTTACGGGTATAGTTATCAGGTATAGTTTAGGGTACAGTTTTAGTCAATGTGAATACGACATAACTCATCCTTGCCCCCGTGAGGCGATGCCTTATTGATTATCCTATAAATGAAAGCTGATTTACTTAGCATTGGCTTAAATTAGTAAGAAACGGGATCCTAGTGGGGGGGGGGGGGTGACGTTTTTTAAAAGAAACGATTAAACGAAATGAAACGCTCAGGGATTATATGCAATCTATTAAGACATAAATTACCATTTTTAAAAATTTTGTCTGTCTATCTGTCTGTCCAGGCTAATCTCCGGAATGGCTGAATCGGTTGTGATGAAACTTTACGATCACATGGAGAGCAGTGCTAGGAGGTATCTAGGTTGTATTTTATTTAAATAACTTAAAGTTTTTTTTAAACCTAAAAATAAATGAGGCAAATGATCATTGATTACCTTAAATCTAAATAAAGCTACATTAAAGTAATATACATCATTAGAGCCGTGGTAGGTCAGGGGCTAAGCGGTCGCTATAAATTTCATAGTACGCGAGCAACCCTGGTTTGATACTCGCCGGCACCAATTAAATTGTTAATTGTAATTACTAGTGCTTCTTACCACGTGCTCAACGGTGAAAGTAAATTTCGTGAAGAAATTTGCATATCTGACAAATAAAAAGAATATTTCGAAGACTTGAAATCCGCCCACAATAGCACGGTGGACTCTTCCTTAAAACCCTCTCAATAATGAGAGGTCATCGATGTGCTAGAGCCAAGCTGCAGCTATCTGCAGCACGACAGGTCAGCTCGACTGGGGTAGAAACACGTTCTCACAGAATTTCAGCGTAAAATAGCACCTTAATGCTTTTTTTATAGGATAAGGGTGACAAACGAGCACACAGTCCACCTGATGGTAAGTTGTTGCTGTGGTCCATAGACATCTACATCTATCTTCGATTAGGAATCAAAATGCAGATGCGTTGTCACCCGTGAGGACTAAAATGGAATGCCTCGTTTCCAGTAAAAAAGATCTCCGGTTCGCTACACTCACCATACGAAACATAGCAGCGTTAAGCTGCTATTTTACGCTGGTATTCTGTGACAGCGTCTTCCTTCCCCGGTCGAACCGACCCATTCGTGCTACAACCATAATATAGCTGCAGCATGGCTCTACCACGTATGATGCACGTATGCTGCTGTGATTCGTACGGTGAGTGTAGACAACTGGAGACCCTTTTGCTCGCTTGTCACCTTTATTCTATAGAAAAAGAGGAGGTTACTTTTTTACTTTACTGCGTAACAGACTAACAAACAGCCTACCATAGTTTCTTATACCATACCTTTAATATTAGTATAGATTTAGTTAGAATATTTTAAATTAGATACACTTTCACTGCATTTTGATTTGTACTTCCTAGCTAAAAAGTACCTATAAATATTATAAAAACCTGCTGGCAAAAAAGGTCGCTTCCAAAACACGAAAAATCTTTTGAACGTCATTTGCATGCAGACTATCAATTTGCGAAAAAACGAATGTTTTACAAATGCACTTTTTAAAACTATTTGGTATTCCTTTTGCAAGAGCGAATATTCATTAAATCTTATAAAATACATTTGAATTGAAAAAAAAACTCGGAACTCATTCCTGTGTTTTTTATGTCTTACACAAACCCGCCTCACAGGGGTAAGGACGGGTTATGTCGTATTTACACAGACAAAAACGCCGTGGTTTTTTAAGTAGGAAAGCAAATCGGCAGAGCCAGATCCGTGGCCCTACCAGCACCGACCACCCCTCCTCAGGAGAGGACAACTCCTCCCTCTTCTCCTTCCTTGGTATTCCGCACCAGAACAGAAAAGACCTCACTGCCCTTTCTTTACGACCGCCAACCCCATTTGCGTGACAGGTCGCCCTGAGTCCGATACATGGAGGAGATGGGGCCAGAAAAAACGAGTACTCAGAAATACCAGCCTTCCTGACCCCTGCAGCGGATTTGATTTATGACTCCGCCGCCGACTAATTTTCAGCGGTGGAGGATGGGGACACTCGATACTCTTCCCCCGCGGCAGCCCTACCACCACGGCATTAACGGTTTGACAGAGTAACAGAGGATAGGCTGCAGCTAGATTTAGAAGAGGACATCCTTTCCACCACACTGCACTAAAATGCATTCAGATTGGGCTTCGCAACCTCAATTGCAACGGCCACTTCGGCCCAGTCAAATGGGTTCTTCTTTGTTCAACGTGGGTAACCAAGTTCTCCAAGAACTCACGCCACGAATTATTTTTTTAGTAACGGAGACAATCGTTTTAGCTTCCACTAGAAATTTTAACGTAACTTAATTTTATTACACAAAAAAAAACCAAATTAATATAGTAAACTGTCTAAAGATTTTATGAAAATTTAACCGGAATCATGAAATCTGCAAAAAGAGTTGTTTTGATATTCGTGTTCTGGCTAATGTTATATGAAAAAAATGCTTGTAAGGAAGAACGAACTACTAAATAGATTTTCCATCAATCTTAAAGTACCTATAAATACTGAATGTACCTACAACTTTGTTTTATATTATTAATTATTGACCAGTGCATATTTTAACTTATAATACCGGTGAAAACTGCTAGACAACCGCTTTTAGTTTGTTTTAAGGTTATTGTGATATTAATATTTTAACTGTTAATTTTTTCAAAATTCCCACTAGCTAAATACGGTAAAACTAATATTACTACTGTAATCTATAGATTATAAGAAATAAATTGACATGTGTTTCATTAAGTTACGCCACAATTTTTGGTGGGCCCATTCTCCATACAAAAAGAAATTGTCTCCTTTTTCGTTGTTTTTGACTTAAAATCCATTTAACAAAATAGTTCAATTAAGACTTCACTAAGTGACATGTAGCGGATAGTGGCCGCTTATAATCCGATTTGCCTCAAAGTACAAACAATTTAGTGCTCGCTATACAGGCCTTTTAGGAAGTCAATTATTCTGTTAAAGTTTATTTACATTGTGACCGATACTAGCGATGGGAAAACAGGAAGTTTTGGATTTGTTTATTCTTAATATAATCGTACTTGAGTTTCCTTTTTGGTCTATTCTCTGCAGATGATAATTAAGGTTCTAGACTCGTGGATACTAAAATGTATATTGCATCCTTTTTATGTTTGTTTTTCATAAAGTACATAATAACAATTTAAATATGAATAGTTCAGTGCGTACACAACAACGAGTTTAAATGGCGGCACATAAGAATGATCTGGACTTTTTCCGTTTATTTATTTATGAATCAATTTTAACTCCCCTTCTCTTACTGACGAGCGGGCACATAGTCCACCTGATGGTAAGTGGTTGCGGTGGCCCATAGACATCTATATATATCCTCGATTACGAATCAAAATACAGATGCGTTGTCACCCGCGAAGACTAAGATGGAATGCCTCGTTTCCAGTAAAAGTTCTCCGGTTCTCTACACTCACCATACGAAACACAGCAGCGTTAAGCTGCTATTTTACACTGGTATTCTGTGAGAGCGTGGTCTCACTCACACACACAATCGTGCTGACACTGTGCCAGATATTACACTCATTTAATTTATTTATTTATTTAACTTAATTTTTCTTGTTCTTCCGTTAATTTATTATATAATTTTTCTCACCTAGTAACATAGCATAATTTCTCCAAGCCAACATTAATTTATTACGCAAGGTTTATTTCAAAGCAGTTATGAGTAAAAAAACTAGTCAAACACGGCGAAAACAATTCACCACATATTTTAGCCTAAAACAACGCTGTACTGTATTTCCAACTGACGGAGACCATTTCTTTAAATATTACAAAGGGTACGATTTGTGAGCCAATTCGATGCGAAAAAAAAAACGTGAATTTGTCCCAACAGAAGTTCTACTGCGTATTCACTGCAGTAACTTATGTTACAGATATGGGGCTCTTTTGCCTATATATCAGACGGGGTTGGATGGAGCGAAGCTCTTTCTTATATCTGCCGCCAAGCAACAGTAGACTTATTCTTGTGATCGAATTCGATACTCGTACCTTATAATGATAATGTGTTCCAGAGTGTATTTTCGTTCACGGCGGCCAGTCTCAACGGAAACTAGCCATTTGCACAGGACAGGATCATAGTACGCGAGTGATGCGTAAGTACAAGGTACACTCTCTATTCTCTCACTCTCATTGTCCGATGGGACGGCAATCAGACACGACCGGAGAGAATTGAAGGGTGAACACAACATCTTACTGACTCAAGAGTACTACTACTGATAATATTTTGTCAGAAAAAAGCCAACAACTGATATTGTTCCGACCGGAGGTTTGAACTCAATCGAACCCACGAGACAGTCATGTTAACAATTATAATTATAGCAATTGAGTGATTTAAAGTCAAATTTTTTCGATGGAATTAACAAAGTATAACATATTGAAAATAAATAATTATTACCTATATATTGAAAAATTACCTAGCAAGTGTTTAAGACTTTTATTAAATAAATTATTAAAAACTGAATGTAATATGGATCTATTGCTACTTTTGATACGTAACACTAAAATGTTAAATTACTTGCGTTAATCACAACAAGTAAATCCTTGGGTTAATCACTTGTTTTCATAACAGTGCTATGAAACGTAATTGTGGTCATCTAATCAAATCATATTGACCTTAAATATGACAGAGAGCAGTAGATATACTTGTTAATATAATTTATTAGATCCTTATCGTGGTCACAGGCAAAACACTACTGTCGAGTGTAAGGTTAGTGTGAAATAACATAGGCTTAAAGGATGCTAGCGTATGTGAAATAGTGAGAAAATGTTTCGATTTTATTTGGTTTGTTTTTGTGAGTATATTTTGTAATTTAAAATCTTAACACACTTTAATAAAATATTTATATACCTATTTCAATGTTATGTAAGAATAGTAATTAACATTAATTTTAAATAAATGTAACTACTACATTAATTGCATATACTTAATAAATAAAGATTAATATTATATTGCATTTGCATAAAATCTTCTGTGTACATACATTTGTTGATTCATAATGATTTCTTAAATTTATACGAATTAAACACATTCAATAAAACAAATTTTACGGACTTTATCATGTTTAATTTTAATTTTTTATTAAATGAAGTTTAGAGTATTAAGTGAAGAAGAACTTTTACCGCTATAACTGCAAGCGTTCTTCTATGAATGTTGTTTTATTAAATTTTAAGCTGCATTTTATATGTATTTTTCTCTAATTTTATCGGTGTATTTTAATGATGACATTTATTCTTTAGATATTCATTGTCCATTACAGTCTATCAAAGGTTCACTGCTGATACGAGTGGATATTTGCTATAGCCACGCTTTGCAGGCGTAATGTTATCAACTGTAATAATAAAACATTACTTTAATTATGAGTAAATGAAAACAAATGAAAATAATATATTGGAACGAAGTTCCTTAACGGACGGCACGGATTTGATGGATGGGGGCTAGACGCAAAAAGTGCAAGATTTTTCCGTTACGACCCCTTCTGACGTAGTAGACAGCCTTGGCTGCTATTACTATAAGGAAGCGAGATGGAATAATATCCATCTCGCTCGCTCTTTTTCTTATCTTGTCATGAAAGAAATATTATTTTAAATGACGCTTCATTTTATAGATACTAGTAATACATTTATTTGTATTTGTTTATCAATAATATAATACGTTTATCAATAATAATATACTACGAAAGGAACTTCGTTCCAACCGAGTGTTCCACGACACTCACAAATGTTTTAATTATATTATAAGCTCTACACGCAGGTTAAAGCGAACTACACAGTTTGTTAAGTAATATCTTCCTGTTACTATATATACATAACATAACAAAACATAACCACAGCGGTGACACTCGTGAGAGTTCAAGCGCGGTGACATTTAGGTGGAGCGTGTAACGCTAGGGTTGATACCGAACCGAAATGGAATATTGTAGACTTGTGCCAAAGAAAATACATAGTAGGTATATGTTATATAATGTAAACTTATGTATTTAGGTAGTGGAAGATACGATCAATTTTAAATCAAATTTTATTAAATATCTTTACAGATGGGGAATATTAAAATTTCCGACAAAACAAAATATGCACGACAGTTAATGGTAATCTTAAATAATTAACCAACACTTAGTATTTCAGTACGCAATAATCTGAATTACCTACTACCTTTTAAAATTTTCTTGCTCTTATATATTTTTGACTTTTTCGATGACTTTTGTAATTTTTATTATTATTTCTAACAATTGCAAAAATTCGTAGCCATATTTATAATTTTTTAGGAAAATCCATAGGGAAGCATAGATAGATAGATAGATAACACATTATTGTACGCCAAAAAATAACATATATATTTTTTTACATTTTTGTTAGATCGCTCTTAGCGACAAGACCACCCCAATGGTTAACGAACTCTTCCAGAAAACCTTTGTATGGACGGAATTGCAAGAAAATAATAAAAAAGTGTTTGGTTTAGCGACAAAAATAACATTATATTTGTAGTGTTTGCTTATATGTAGTATACAGTAAATATTGTTATTTGTTTTATTTACTAATAATTTACCATGCACAAATACACAAACATACATTTATATATAAGTCACTGTCTCGAGCGCACCGCGTCAGTTACACGAGAGCCTCGGGCGACAGTTGACGTGTCGTTTAGTTAAAGTGCGTGCCGAGCCTGTGTTACACTACAGTGGTTAGAGAAGATAGCAGACATTACAAGTGGCGACGAGGAAAAAGATAAGTACCTATTTAGTATAAAGATATATTCAAAAATAGGTTAGCAATGTGCAACTATTAGCACTGCAATTGTAAATTAATTCCTAGAGTACCCGCGGAAAAAAAACTGTGGATTATGAATTATGATTTATTGTTTTTAACCCTGTTCTGATCATTTTAATAATTTATATAAATGATATGTTCGCATATGACCACGGTTATGGTGTGCAAAAATTTATTTTCTTTATGTAGCAATGATAAAATAATGATTTATTTTAACATATGTCTATTAGCACAACTTTTATATAAAAAGATTTTTGATGGAAAAATAGTAGATGTTACTAAAAACTCCTCTCGATTCGAACCGAAATACAATGTCGTTAGCTAAATTTTAGTGGCATTTAACATGTAGGTGTGATATTTATCGCCTTTAATGAAAATACTATTTTACTGCTTTCATGGCATATATAAGTCTTACAAAAAATCGTGGACACTTCACGACTTCTGTACATTGCAAAGTAGGTAACTAGTAATACTGTTTATTTATTTATTTGCTTTTTAAGGGAAACATACAGTGCAATAATAAATTACATAATAAAACGTATAAAAGTAATCCTAAAAACCAATGAAGTTTCCACAGATATCTAATACATAATAAAAGCAAACCACAATATTATGTTGTATAAAATTAAAAATATAAAAGAATAAAACAAGCTAAATGGTATTCATAAATTAAAACATTAAGTAGTAAGTAGTTAAAAGTAACATTATATATACAACTCAAAGTGATACTACCAATTATATATTAAGTTTTACAATATTTTCTTTGCAACTATCATATTCAAGGTGAAAAATATGTAATATTTACAATATTTTAAGTTAAACTTTTTGCATGTACGAGATGCAAAATTATTTGAGGCATTTTTTTGTTTTAACTTTAGGTAATGCAAAAAGTGGTTTATTTCGTGCACCTAACCTGTGACACGCAAGATTCACCTTGCCTAAAAGTAGGGGAGAGTCGATGATATTATGAAGCAATTTGTACAACAACATTTGATCTCTTATATTACGGCGTTTCTCAGGGTATTGCTGTCTAAGTTATCAATAATGGTAAATGCGCAATATAGGTATTGAATTTACCCAAAGCCTAAATGGCACAGCGATGGAAGTAGTCGGTATAACAAATAAACCGAAAGAGAAGGGCGAGTGCTATGGAACATATTATTATCATGAAACTGAGTTTGGGTACCAAGATACCAATCATTAAATTGAGTTGGGTACTAAGATACCATCATTAAATTGAGTTGGGTACTAAGATACCATCATTAAATTGAGTTGGGTACTAAGATACCATCATTAAATTGAGTTGGGTACTAAGATACCATCATTAAATTGAGTTGGGTACTAAGATACCATCATTAAATTGAGTTGGGTACTAAGATACCATCATTAAATTGAGTAGGGTACTAAGATACCATCATTAAATTGAGTTGGGTACTAAGATAGGTACCACCATTAAATTGGAACTTGGGTACTAAGGTAGGTACCACCATTAAATTGGAGCTTGGGTACTAAGGTAGGTACCACCATTAAATTGGAGCTTGGGTACTAAGGTAGGTACCACCATTAAATTGGACTTTGGGTTCTAAGTTACTACCATTAAATTGGACTTTGTGTACTAAGTTACTACTATTAAATTGGACTTTGGGTACTAAGTTACTACCATTAAATTGGACTTTGGGTATTAAAATACCAGCATTAAATTGGAAAAAAAAATATAAGAAACTGTTTCAGTTTACCCCTAAAATAATAATAATAATGATACTGTTATCAGCTTTAATGTGATAGCACATCTATGGCTATAAGGTGTGGAAAATGGAAAAGGTCTCTACTAATCTATCTCGACGTAGCTGAAGTTATATCAGCACTCGAGAAACGAGCTACGCTATTGCATTTTGGTGGCTCTGGAATAAAAGAAACCGTTGATGTATTTTAAGTAGCCATAAAAAAAAACTCTACGAGTATTTTCAACCTAAACGGAGCAAATTTTATGAGCGGCATGTTTTTCGATTGCTAAAACAGAAAAAAGGAGAGACATTTGAGAAGTTTTTGATAAGATTGCGTCAACAAGCCGAAAAGTGTATCGAAAAGCAAGATGATCATTTCATAGATCAAATTGTGGAAAAGTGTAATTTGAAATTGCGCAAGAACTTATATCTTACAAAACGTGGGAAGAGTTAAAAAGCAAAAAAGTATATGCTTTTAATCAAATGTAAAGACCAGACAATTAGCATATGGTAGTAACTCTCCTTTGGCAATAGAGGGTTCATTTGAAACTATACTCCAAGTCGATGGACGAAAGGAACATACAACCATTTACGTGATTTCGGGGGGTACTAGAAACCTGTTTGGTAAGAAAACAGCAGTCCGACTGGGTGTCTTAAAACTTGGTATCGGGATAAATCAAGTGGAGAGTAAAAGCAAGCCGATCCCCTTTAAAGAGAAGGTTGCAATCAAAATTAAGAAATCACTAAACAGTGATATAATTGAAGAAGTGCAAGGCCCGTCTAAATGGTTTTCACCAATGTTCCAATCATGAAAGAAAATGGTGAATTACGTTTGTGCGTAGATATGAGATATACGAACGCCGTTATATTGCAAGAAAACCACCCCCTGCCTACTATGGACCATTTTTGCATAAAATGAAGAAAGCTAAATATTTTAACAAATTAAGACATAAAAAAATGCCTTCCATCAAGTGGAAATTCACTCTGAATCCAGACACATAACGACTTTTATAACCCCCAAAAGAGTATATAGATATAAAAGTATAATGCTTGGAATTACCTGCGCTTCCGAGATTTTTGAGAAGATCATTGAAAGGATGCTGATAAACTGTGAAGGGGTCGTCAATTTTATTGATGATATCCTGGTATTCGGGAACAGTGAAAAAGAACATGACGCATGACTAAAGAAAGTTCTACAGGTACTTAGTAAAAACAACGCCGTGCTGAATAGCAATAAATGCATATATAAAACGCAGGATGTAAATTTTCTGGGACACAGGCTTACACATGAAGGAGTAAACCCTTCAACAAGTACGTTGAGAGCATTATGAAATTTAAGGTCCCAAAGACCATAGAAGAACTCCAAAGTTTTTTAGGACTCTTAAACTACATAAACAAATGGATACCTAACTTGGCCGCCATGACAGAACTTCTGAAGCACATGTTAAGACAGAAGATGAGCAAAAGGGAGAGCTTGGAAAAACAATGGTCTGGAGAACAAGATAAAGCATTCCAAAAACTCAAACGGATGCTCACGGAAATACAGATTTTAGGGTATTATGACGTCAGAGATGCAAGACAGGTGATAGCAGATGCTAGCCCTGTCGGACTTGGTGCTGTCCTTGTACAAAATGATACAAATGGCCCTAGAATTATTGCCTATGGTAATCGAGCTTTGACAGACTGCGAGCGCAGGTATAGCCAAACGGAAAAAAAAGGCACTAGCATTAGTTTGGGGGGTCGAACATTTTAATATGTTTATTTGGAAAGCCTTTTGATTTAGTCACTGACTACAAGCCGCTAGAGATATTGTTCGGGTCTAAGTCAAAACCATGTGCGAGGATTGAACGATGGATACTGAGGCTACAGTCTTATTCATTTAAGGTTATATACAAGCCAGGAAAAACAAATATAGCTGATCCCTTGTCACGATTATGTAACTATCCTGATAAACCACCAAAAGGAAAAGACCAGCATGTGTACCAAATAGTGGAAAATTCTAGACCAGTTGCTATACCAATGAGTTCCATTGTAGCATATTCAGAAAAAGAACAAGAGATTTACAAAGTGAAAAAAGGTGTCTATCAGAACGACTGGGACGATTCGATTAAGAGTTACAAATTTTTTGAAAACGAGTTGTTTCCATGATAGCATTCTACTTCGTAGAAATAAAATTGTAATACCACAGCAACTCTGCAAGAGTGTATTAGATGCTGCATACGAGGGTCATCCAGGTATCGTAGCGATGAAGGGACGCTGGAGATCAAAGGTATGGTGGCCCCGTATCGATAAAGACGTAGAACAATTAGTAAAGGCTTGTAAAGGTTGTACGTTAGTGGGGTTGCCAAACCCAACTGCACCAATGAAGAGACGAGAGTTGCCTGCAGCTCCATGGATAGATGTCACAATGGATCTAATGGAACCATTGCCAAGTAACGAGTATCTGTTAGTAGTGGTCGACTACTATAGTCGATACAAAGAAGTAAACAATTACAAAAACATCACAAGCTTACAGATTATTAAAATGGTAAAAAAAATGTTCAGTAGACTTGGTTATCCTACTTCTATCACCGCAGATAATGGCAAGCAGTTCGTGAGTGAAGAGTTTCGATCCTTCTGCAAAGAATGTAACATTAAGTTATTTAGTACTGTACTATATTGGCCTCAAATGATCGGCGAAGTTGAAAGACAAAACAGAGATATTTTGAAACGTCTTCGTATCAACCAGATCGAGAGGAAGGATTTATAAGAAATGTTTATGGGAGTATCTTCTAATGTATAACAGCACCCCTCCTTACAGTTACCGGGAAGTTAGCGTCTGAACTGTTTTTTCACCGAAAAAGTAGGGATAAAATTCCATCAATAGGTGAAATAAATTACAGACAATCATTTAGATTCAGATATCAGGGATAGAGACAAAATACAAAAAAGAAAAAGGAAAAGAGTATGTATATAGGAAACGCAGAGCAACTCGCTCAGATATAATACAGGGAGATAAGGTTTACGTAAAAGCAGTGGAAAATAATTAATACAGACAATACAAGCTGCTTTGTGATTGTTATGAGTTATAATGAAAAAAAGAAAAAAATCTTGATAAGAAAGAGATGTAGTGTTTGCTTATATGTAGTATACAGTAAATATTGTTATTTGTTTTATTTACTAATAATTTACCATGCACAAATACACAAACATACATTTATATATAAGTCACTGTCTCGAGCGCACCGCGTCAGTTACACGAGAGCCTCGGGCGAGAGTTGACGTGTCGTTTAGTTAAAGTGCGTGCCGAGCCTGTGTTACACTACAGTGGTTAGAGAAGATAGCAGACATTACAATATTTATTAGAGCCATCAAATAGAAATATAGAATGGTACGTAATATATATATATATATATATATATATATATATATATATATATAAAAGTACAAATATATACTCTAAAACTATTACATATAACATATATGTACCATACATATAAACGAGACGCAAACTACTACGTACCAGCCCTCGGCCAGGGCAGTCGTCGACGGCCCGTTCCACGCCCCGCGCGCCTCGTTTCTTTTCGCGTGGCGTATATTTTCTTTGACATAACATAATAAAATGTTTGATTGATTGTTTAATCTTTGCTACGCCACTGATTCGCCGTTATCACTACGCTTTACATCCGGATTGGTTTATGTCATTTTAATACAGGAAACGTGACAAACGAGCACACGGCCTATCTGATGGCAAGGGGATACTGAGGACTATACAAATCTACATGTATCATAGATAATTATTATCAAAATGCAGACGCGTTGTTACCTGAAGATAAATGAAGTGTCTCGTTACCAGTAAAATAAGCTCTTATGTTATCTATCTCTACACTCACCATACGTAACGCAGCAGCATTAAGTAGCTATATTTACGCCGGTAATACGTAGGAGTGGTCCTTTTTAGATTGAGACGACAAATTTGTACTGCCAAGCCACAGCACCGAGTCCAAAATGTTTGATAAAATTTTTTGGAACTGCACTAACGTAATATTATGGATATTAGTCATTTTGACCCATAAAATAAAGAATTCGTTCATTACATGACTTCAACACCATCTATCGAATTGATCTAGTAGTTCAAATGTTACACGACTAGCAGACGCACCAACGATTTTAAATACCTATAAAGATTTAAATCTGCGTGAACGTACTTTACTTTTTATGAAATTGATGTAGTAAAAATTCTACCAGACCACCTGGTCAAATACGTAGTCGTTTATAGTTGTATTGTCACCGCTGAGGATTAAGATGAATTGCATAAAGCCTATTACTATCTTGGCTTTCTATAAATACAACAGTGAATACTGTTTGCAGGCAGAAATAGGTAGATAAGTGACATTCAGCGAGACAGAATCCTAAGGATAGTAGAAGGCTTACTATCTAACGACATACAATTGAAATTGTTTTTACAGTGTCCATCACAGTGTCGTTATGTCAGGACGGCTCCTGCCCTCCGACGTTATCGGTCGACGTATGCGACGCGGAATGTGGTCCACAAAGGCCATGTAGCAGTTCTCAACTGTGTTGCCCAACAACGTGTGGTGGTTCTATATGTGTCGATCCCATGACCAGAAGACATTTCGTCAACTATAGTAAGATTTTATTTAATTATAAATGCCAGAAATCTTTTATAGCTTCCTACAGAGGGCGGTATATTCTCTCCTTTACACTAGATAAACACCCAGGTCGGAGACGGACAGCGTCAAAGGTGCGTGACGCCTGGTATTACGATCCGTCGCCCAAGCGTGATGGCTTAGGCAATTTCTCCTTAAGTCCATCTGTAGGGGGGGGGGGTTAAGGGTCTAAAGGCAATAATGGTTATTATACGTATATGCATGCCGGCAAAGTAAGGCTGCATACGACAGGCCACTCAGAATGTATTCAGAAAAAAATTGTGTGAGACACTTTTTTTTCTGTTTTTCTGTAGTTATAAGTAATTTATTTTGAAAAACATTTATTAACAAGTCAAAATACGAATGTTCCAATTTTAAATTTCTCTACACAATTTTTACTAGCTAAATTGAATTATTGTGTTACATCGCAAAATGGACCTGCGCCAGGAATATTTTCGTGCGATGATTTTTTATAATTTCGAATATCGCTTTAAGCCGGACCAATTCATAAACAGAAATTTAAATTGTATTTATGGATAAAGACCCTTCTAAGTCAATTGTCTACCACTAATATATTAAATATTAGTTCGTTCGTCTAATTATAAGATGTAGAAAGAAGTAGTCGCCTTTTGATGGATGTTACGGAAGAAACGTGCTCTCTGTAAAAATTTTATTTGCTAACAACGTATAAAAATATTTAGCACATATTGCTGGTTGGATCGGTTTAAAGTTAGAGCCTATATACGTCACATACCTGGGCACAGTCCTCCTCTCATTTTGGAGAGGGTTTTAGGGCAAGGACATGCGAGTTTCACGTCTTCGAAATATCTTTTCTTATTTGTCAGACATACAGGTTTCCACACAATATTTTCCTTCACCGCCGATCACGTGGTAAATAAGCACTTAAAATTGCAATTAACAATTTCATTGGTGCCGGCGGGGCTCGAACCCGGGTTGCTCGCATACTTTGAAACTTACTTAAATCTGAGCTACCACGGCTCTGGTTGGATCGTGTATCGTTCACGAAATCATATATTTGCGAGAGCAGGATAGTTTCGCGTACAGCCTCACAAATGCTCAGAAGCAGGCCAATGTGGAATGGTGAGATGATTAATAAATTTTAAGCAGGTGCGTTTCAGGGTAGTTACGATATTATTAAAGTTGATGAATCTTGGATTTATCAAAACGTATAGAAAGAAAGGAAGTGCCAGTCAGTGCCAAACCATCGTCTAACAAAGTAAAGCGATCGAGAATGTGGCAATTATCTAATTTCTGAGAGAGTAATAGAACAATATTTTTTTGAAAATCACGTTATTTATTATGTTATGTTAGTTATCCCCCACACTAGGATTTTCTTCTGTATCGTGAAGGCAGTTTACTAACATAAACTGCACAAGGACAAACATCGAGACCTGGATCAATTATTTGTAGGCCATACAAATATTTGTTCCGTGCGGGATTCGAACCTGCGGCTCCAAGCACTGCCATCCATTGCTAAGCCACTGCGCTATGGAGCCATCTAATTAGTTTTAACAGCTCGTTCAGAAGCCAGGATTCCGTATATGATATGTTAAAAGATTTGTGACAAATAAATTATTTATTCATTTAATTATAAATTAGTCCGCTGCGTTGCTCTAGTGTCTTTGACCCATTGACTTCCTGCAGGTCTTACAATGTCGTCGCTCCATCTAGCGGGGGGACGCCCTATACTTCAGCTACCGGTACGAGGCTGCCACTCGAGAACATTTCTTCCCCATCTGTTGTCGGTTCTTCGAGCTATATGACCGACCAATTGCCACTTAAGCATACTAATTCTTTGGGCTATGTCGGTTACTCTGGTTCTACTGCAGATATCCTCGTTTTTAAGTCTATCACGCAGAGAAACGCCAAGCATAAGCTCAAAGTCGCTCAGCGATGGAGCGCTCTCCACTTTGAGCTTCCTTATACGACCAGCAGTTATTACTATTAGTAACTAGTTATTTTTATTATAAGTAACTATGCAGAAACTTATGTTATGTAATTGGTACCTTCTACGTGCGGCTTGTAGTGATAATTTACTTTATTTTATTTTGGTAACATACTTACATACTTACTGAATTTTAAATAGATTGGTTGCCTTTGTGACATAAGACTTTTAAAATTCCACCTTTTTTCCAGTTAAGCCGGGCAGTTGCCCCAAGGATCCCAAGGGTCCCTGGCTGTGCACACACACTTGCACCACGGATTCGGATTGTCTGAGAGCGCTGAAGTGCTGTCCCAACAGATGTGGTGTATTTACCTGTCAGATGCCGAGATTTCAGGACGCTGATAAAACAGCTTGAGACAAAATTAGCTTTGAATAAAACTAGTATTTAAATTTTTATTGCGTTTTTAAACATGTGGTGCGGCAGTGTGGCGAGTCAAATCAAACGTGTCCTTACTTTAGGAAATACGTTTATCAACTCCTCGTTTGCCCAATACATTACCCGTGTTATATATAATGTATAATTGTATGTACAGCTTCACATTATACCATTACAGTTTATTAATTTATTTATTTTCATATTCCGTACGTTTCGATTACTTCACAGCAATCACGGAAAGACTGAGGTATCCAATGTCTTTATACTTAAAATTATTAATTTTTGGTCTGATCCGAAAGTGGCCTTGAACCGAACAGTCTTTCTGTAACCATGAGTGCTGCAAAGTACTACAGAAGAGTTAGGAATATAAAATAAAAATAAGTTGTTAAACGCGACAGTTTCCGCAAAAATTTTGTTTCGTTTTTTTTTTCTTAAATAAACGTTAGCCCCACACTAGGATTTTCTCCTGTATTGTGGAGGCAGTTTACAAACACAGATTGCACAAGGACAAACATCCAGACGCGGAACAATTATTTGTAGGCCATACAAATACTTGTTCCGTGCGGGATTCGAATCCGCGCCCCGCAGGAACTCATTGCTAAGCCACTGCACCACGGAGCCGCCGTTTCGTTAATATGTAGTGATAGCGTAAATATTAAAAACTAGCGATCCGTCCCGACTTCGTACGGGCGCTTTCTGGATCTTGACAACATCGCCACCTACCAGGTCCAATTGTGAATCTAAACTATTCAGAGACCCACTCAAACGCACACAAAAAAATTCATCAAAATCGTTCGAGCCGTTTTCTAGTTTTAGCGATACTAACTGACAGCAATCGATGTTTATATGTAGAGATAGGTACTTGCAATTACAGTAGTTTGACACTAGCTTTGTATCTAAAATTATTTTTATATGATTTTTGAATTAAATAATTTTATGTAAGATAGTGGCAGCCTCGTACCGGTAGGCGAAGTGTAGGGCGACCCCCCACGAGATGGAGTGACGACCTGGTAAGACATGCAGGAAGTCGATGGATGCAGGTGGCTCAGGACCGTGCTTTGTGGCATTCCTTGGGGGACGCCTATGTTCAGTAATGGACTTATGAAAGGCTGTAATGATGAAATGATGATTTAAGATAGTATTTTACTTCAGATACCAAACCTTTTATACAATTTGATTACATTACCGATTGCCGGTTATATTGTGCGGTGAAGTTCAAATAAAGCTGTTTGGAAAAAATAATTTAGACGGCGCAAGAATTTCTAATTAATATTTATAGCTATTGAGAAAATGATCCATTATTCATCGCCACTTAATGCTAAGTGGTCACCACAGAGCAGCGACACAAACAATTCAGCAATTCAATTGCGTAACTATTTAAAAAATTAAACAATAAATTTAAATTGTAATAGGTCATATCCGGTGACTCATTATAAATTCGACTTTTTTAATGTTAAAAAAATCAAAATAAATTTTCATTTAAACTTAAATAATAAATAATGCAGTAAAAAATGTATTTGGTTAGGAGATGATATCGTCATTACTTTTCAAGATATGCTATATGAAAAAGTACACTGCCGTATGAACGTAAACCCCTCTTCTCCAACGCCTCAACTCTATCAGGATAGTTGCGCTGATGCGGCGGTAGTGGGACCGCGAGAGAGAGCAATGTTGGTACTTCTAACGGCGCGACCGGATTCGCTACTGGTGTCGGGATGACAGGTGTTTTCTAGTGCTCGTTTTTCTTGGCTCTGTGTCTATGCGACAAGCTTTTATATCATATAAATTGTGTTGTTTAATAAATTGGTGGGTTTGATTTAATTTAAAGTGTATTTTCTTCTTTTTAGAGAATAAAAATGTTTTTTACTATTAATTTATTTTAAGTCAGCTAAAAGCAAGCGAAATTAGTTTGCTGTTGACGACGACACTGCAACCACTATGAAAATAAATTCATCTTCGATTCACACATGGAATATCGTCTAAACTAGGTCGAGATGCTTTAGATCAGATAGAATCCAATCAAAGCAACTAGATAAGAATTTAAAAAAAAACTGCTAGGTAAATTACTAAATCATCTGAAGTAATCACCAGAAGGATACATTATAATAAGGGTATCAAACGATCAACATTCACCTGATGGTAAGTGGATGCTATGGCCCATAGAAATCTTCGATTAAAAATCAAAATGCAGATGCTTCCTCTCCTCTGAGTACTAATGCCTGTCACTAGTAAAAAGGGTCTCCGTTATTTAAACTTATGTATACGAAACACAGCGGCATTATTCTACTGTTTCACGTTGGTATTCTGTGAGTGCCGGCGGAGATCGAACCCTGGTTGCTCACGAACTGTGACATTTAGAACACAGGGGCTAAGTGCTTTGAGATTCCTTATTCAATATAAATTATAGAAAGTATAAATTATATATTTTAAGCTAGGCATCAAGGACATCTAAAGAAGTTTGACAAATACTCATTTAGATGTCCGCTATGTTAGTTTATGCTAACGCTATGTTAGTTTTGGTTCTATACAATCAATGATAAAATATACTGGATTTGGTGAGAGCGGGTAGCGTGAATCCGTGTAGTGGCGGTGTTAGAATTATCCACTGTATGGGATCGTCCCGTGGGTGTCTTAAGAGGCAACAGAGGGAAACAATCCAGAAGATGGGCTGCAGCGTCTTTCTAATAACAACTTAAAGGAAAACTGCGGTTGCCGAACAGTTTGCTTAGCGCGGCTACTGTGTCATATTTTCTTGCTTCAAAGAGGGTATCCATTTTAGGCAATTTATGGGGGAGCCCTATGTTGAGCAGTGGACTTTTTATAGGCTGTAACTGTAACGGGTAGCGTGAAATTGACTAGTCGACAGTAAAGCCCAAACTCTCCGCTTAACGTTCGAGGTGTGTAATAAACTTTTAACTCGCTTTTGTGTATGTTTGTTCGGGCCGAATTTAGTTATTAATTTTAAACTCCCGGTGAGCTAGATACTTGAAATTTTGAACATAGCTCATAATCGGATGACAATATAAGAACGTGTACAGACGAATTAATACAGAATTTAATACATATTTAACATCTATATCCGTGTGAAATCTTACGACTCTTATGAGGAAAGTTTATATTTAGAATGTTTATCATAACTCATGTTCTTTCTTAATTAGTTCCGAGTAATTAATTCGTATTATAAGGAAAGTAACATTAAATATCTGATGTCACAAAGGTAACAAGAGATATCGTCCGGGGCCTCCAGAACAGTCTTAGTACAGAAGGCAATAATTTTTAACATCAATTTGTTGCTTCAGATTCAAATTCAGGAGCCTAATCTCAGGAAACAGTAATGATGTCTGTGTATAGATACATCCATATTTATATACATAAATGCGCACGCCTATCACACAGAGGGATAGGCAGAGAGTACGGACTTCCTTTTGAAACAATCCTGACACATGTCCTTCACTTCTTTCACGTTCGTATATAAAAAAACCCATGCGCATACAATATATTGGTCTGTTAATTGTATAGATATGTATGTGGTCACTTATCTTTTGTATTTTTTTTAAATACTAGTAATGCTATTAAACATCACTAATATTCCCTTTAACCACTTCTGGTAAGTTAAAATGAATTAGCCATGACCTTTCAAGTTCGCGGTCCGCGTCCTGCCATTAGGCTACTGATTCAATTTGCATTAGTTTTATACAACTACTACTATATCATTATAGCAGGTTTTTGTTATTAATTTGACCTTAATGTTTTATGTATGGAATACAAGGGCGGTGTAAGAGTTTCACTAACCTTTATAGTCCGGTGGGTGTCGCGAGAGGCGACAAAGGCAAACAAACCAGGAAGTGGCCAAAGACGTATTAAAAAAGATAGACAGGTTACACACTAACATTATTGCTTTTTAAAGTGGCGCAGGTAGTATTATTTCTACGTGCAGTTATTTACTATGACACGTTGCGCTAACAAAAAGAGACAAATGATAGAGCATACCTATTGTTAGAAAAAGATGAATTTACATCATTAGTTGCGTATTGATTGCTGCCGAGCACACATTGGCGCGAATGCGTGACATACCGATATGGAAAATGATCACACTAGCTAGCGTCAAAGTTCACACTAGCGGTTAGTGTTAAAATAATAAAACCAATTATGAACAAAACATCTATATTCAAAATATTAATGAGACGTTTTTCTAGTCTCTAACAGTTGCCGTGAAATTTGTGCACCACCTATAAACACAGGAAGGCATTTTTGCCAGGAATAACTAGAAGATTTTTTGCAGCGAAAGTATAGCCGCGACACGAGAGCGTTCCCGACTGAATGCGAATCGGGCAATTACCTGACTTTCGTATTGCCATTTTAGAGCAAGTATGACGTATCTATACTTTTAGGCCGGCCACATACATACGGAATTCCGTTTCGAGATTCCGTTTCGATATTCCGTTTCAGGATTCCGAACGCAGCAAGTCTATATAAAATCTATGACCCGCCACACACGTACGGTAGTTTTCGGTTCGATATTTTGCGAGCAAAACGGGATTCCGTTTGTGTGTGGCCTACCGTTCGGAATTCCGAAACTGAATCTCGAAACGGAATTCCGTATGTATATGGCGGGCCTTAAAAACATCTTATGGCTCCAGTACACGTTGGCCAACGTGTCAATCAGTGGACTTTGTTAAATTTTCATTAATTAATGTAACAGTATGTATGTATATATTTGTTCGTGTTTATGTATGAATGTAATATAAAATTTAGTTTTTACACCCTTCTGGACGTCTGGCATTGTAAGAACTCATGACGATACAGTAGTAGGTATTATTATCGCTGTAACCTAATTATTTTTCTTAAACTCTGTTTACAAGAAAATAGTTCGTGTCTGCCTGCGCTTAGTTCAGCTTTAGCTATTTCTCAACCCGCTTAGAAACACACACAACATATTGTTGATATAAAATATACTATTACTAAACTTAATCAACTGC